GAGGTTCTGAACTTAGAAGAGTAGAGACTGAAATCCTGGGTCTCAGTGACTGCAGGGCCTATAAGGTACCCACAAGTAGCTAGTGGGCCCACAACTCTTGACATCTATACCTTGTCCCTCTAGAACCACAACAGTTTAAGAGTACTGCTGTGTAATTCACTAGTCTGGAACTGTATTCATTTCAACTGAATATCATTTCAAGTTTGCCTCTGTTGAACTTTTGAGACACATATAATGAATGAAGGGAAAAGGAAAATTTCTAGATGGCATCTAATTTATTTTAGTGAAAAAAAAAATTTTAAACCCTTCTGAAAAATACCTTTGGCAAAGTAATTTAGAAATAAAAGGTTCATGAGACTCACCTACTTGTAAGTCCTCTGCTTCCCAAGACACACACAATAAAAATTAGGCATAAACCCAGGTGTCAGCACAACCCATATGGCTGTATGTGGTGGCCCTACCCAGACTCCCATAGGCTAATACAGAGTGAGTGAGGCCTGGGAGGAATCCAGACTCAGAACTACTGTTACCTGCCCAAGGTAACTCGACTTACAGCAAAACTAAGGCCCGAGTGTTTATATTTTGTAACTAGTAACAACATGCAAAAAGTATTTCTGAATAGTCAGTGTGATAGACGTTCCTCTAGAGAATGCAAAAAACAAACAAGATAGTTTTGTCCTTAAGAAACAAAAAGGTTATGGATATGAAATTGATTTTAGCTCTCTTTTTCCCATACAAACTCACTTATTAATAATTAACATGTTAATTACATAATCCTTTCTATTTATTAAAGCAAGTCCCCACAGCCCTTTTCCTTGTAAACACTTTGCAAGGGTAGTTATTATTACATGTGCTTGCTTGAAGGTGGCAAAATATACTGTAATTACATATTTTTACACATTTAGATTGGCTTCATTTGTTTATTTAACAATTCAGATTTTATAGTATTAATGTACATTTCTAACATTCCCCCTTCTTCACACCACAGAAATTTTATTTTATTTTTTGAGATGGTCTCACTTTGTCACCCAGGCTGTAGAGCAGTGGCGTGATCAGAGTTCACTGCAGCCTCAACCTCCTGGGCTCAAGTGATCCTCTGATGCCAGCCTCCCGAGTAGCTGGGATTACATATGTGTGCCATCACAACTGGCTAATTTTTTAATGTCTTTTTGTAGAGACGGGGTTTTACCATGTTGCCCAGGCTGGTCTCTAACTCCTGGGCTCAAGCGATCAGCCCACCTCAGCCTCTCAAAGTGCTGAGATTATGGACATGAGCAACATTCTTAATCTCTTCAGTATTTTTTTTTTTTTTTTTTAAAAGACAGGGTCTTGCTCTGTCACCCAGGCTGGAGTGCAGTGGCACAATCTTGGCTCACTGCAGCTTCCACGTCCCAGGTTCAAGCGATTCTTGTGCCTCAGCCTCCTGAGAGGCTGGGACCACACCGGCTAAGTTTTGTAGTTTTAGTTGAGGCGGTGTTTCACCATGTTGCCCAGGCTGGTCTCGAACTCCTGACCTCAAGTGATCCACCCGCCTCAGACTCCCAAAGTGCTGGGATTACAGGCGTGAGCCACCACGCTCGGTCAGATTTTTAATATATATTTCCATGCCTGTATTCTTAAGACGTTTCTTGCTCCATAAAGGCGAGTTGTTTGTCATTTTGGTTTTATATCCCTAGCGGCTCACTGAATGAATGAACTGGTGAGAGGGCAGTGCAGTTAAGGTGTGGGAGGCAACACCACTAGTGACTACGGGAGAGGCCCCTCGTCAGTTAGTTTCCATTGGTGGGAACCCTGGGCTAGCCACTTACTGTAACAGCTGTGGGATCATGGCCAAATCATTACATTTCTCAAGGCTTTGGTGTTCTCACTTATGAAATAGAGACAGCCTCAGAGGGCTTCCCGTTAATTAAGAGACTGGGTGAATCAGCCTGGGTTTGGATCCTGGTTTGACCATTGTAGTCACTGTGCATCCTGGCAAAACTGTTCACCTGTTCTGTGCCTCAGTTTCTTCCTCTGTAAAGTGGAGTAATAACAGCAACTTCTGTGAGGATTAAATGAGTTAATATAAAAAACATTTAGAAAACAGGACCCAGGACATAGTAGCATGTTCGATAAATGCTGGTTGTTATTACTAATAATTTTGGAAAAGCTGCTCATATACAATGTGAGTAAAATGGTTGCGAAGTATTTGAAACTTCTTTAAAAAAGCAAAACCAGAAGCAAGTCATGAAGTGAAGAACAAAAACAGAAAAAGGAGACTGATGACATCTTGGGTGGCGGCATGAGTGAATCATTCCAGAGATATGAACACGTCTCATGTGAAGAAGGAAGCTGAATATGTCACTATTCATCTGAGTAGTTAATCAAGAGAAAGAAAAAACCCTTTACTTGGATCCCTTTCTAAAAGGATAACAAAGACGGAAAAAGCGAAGAGCATTTATTGAATTCAACAATACATGTTGCAAATGTGATCTGTTGCTGAGTGTTTGCTGAGGACAGGAGGCTCCAAGGGGGAAAAGGTGATGATTTTGAATTGGACATTGAGAGTACCAGGACCCTCACAGCACACAGCACTCAGAGCAGGAACCCAGCGGCACACATGCCTTGGAGGGGAACAAGGTGGCAGTGTCACTCAGGAGAGGAGAAAAGGGTGCATGGTGCTGGAAGGGGTGCCCAACTTTCAGGCACCAGAGAGTGCCGAGTGTGGGAATATCCTTCTCATTTCAGATCGTTTCTACTATTAACCTACACTCCAGGTTCATGCCTTAAAACACTCCAACAAAAAGCTGAACTGTGACGCAGGAGCCCAGTGGGCTACCGTAACAGTAAAGGTCCTGGAACTGAAGCAAGGCTTTACTCACAGAATATCAGAAGTGGAAGCAACTTCCAATGCAATATAATCTCATTTCCTCGTTTTCTAGACAAAAAGCAATTCAGAAAGAGTAAGCAATTTTCCAAGGAGACACAGCAGTTTGGATAAGAACTCTCCTGGGCTCAGTGCTCTTAAATTAAGAGTCTTCACGTTCAGTGATAGCAAAAAACAGGGATTTAGTCAAAAAATAAATCCATTCTATAGTAATTTCCTTCCCTGCTATTAGTTCCTATAGCAAAAGTTCTTCCTTAGTTGTTCACAAAAGATTTACTAGATAGCCCAAGGCTCAGTCTTCACGTATGATGAGTAGAAAAAGAGGCTACAAGATTGAATTACTAAAGAGTATGGAGACAAATTTCAAAAAGCCCAGGAAGGGCTTATGGTCTTAAGAGTTAACTAGACCACCTTCACCCACACCCAGTTCTGAGAACAAGGTCTGGACCTTGCTTCCAATTACATTAGGAGCAAAAGCTCACAATTTCTGTGCCTACCATGACTTACAAACCGCTTTTCCAACTGCTGCTAAGTTCTCTTCTTTCCATGACAGCTAAAGAAACCTGGCTTTGACAACACCCACCACGTTCAGTAAGGGTGGTGGGTAACCCACAGTCCTGCCTCTGCCCAGCAACAAACAGCTACATGTTATAGTTACTGGTGCTGACAGGGAACCAGCAGATCATTACTGTCGACTGGGACTGAAATTCCTAATGCTTACTGGTATTGCTAACATGGAAAACTCTTGATGATGTGATATAAAGAGAATTGGGCAAAACCCAAGTCTCACTCTCAGGACAAGCCTGAACAAAGGCAGGAGAGGCTCTCTATAGATGTTTGCTTTCTTGGGTATCCCCATAGTCTTCCTACCAACAGAAATATTTGGAAAGTAAATATAACAAAGCCCTCTAAGGCCAAGAAACAATGCTCCATTGGTAGCACTGAAACTGTTTAAGATCTTTTGGAAAAAGATCTTCAGCACACAAGAAAAGAACTCGCTTTTCAAGCTGTAAAGGACTTTTCATCAGAAAGATGTGATTTTCTGAGAAACGGCAGGTAAAAAGGGAGGTGACTGGGCTTCACCTTATATTTGCCTGGCCTCATAGATGGGTTTGCTAAATAGCTGCAAACGCCTCTAGGAAATACCAAGGGTCTCCCCCAGGCAAACCTGGTCTTGTAGAAGTGGTAAACATTTTACTATGGTTTCGCAGTGGCACTCATCATCTTCACCCGGAATGTTCCTGGTATTTTCAGAAGTGAGGGAACTCTGGGAATTGTGCCAGATTATCTCATTCTCTCTAAATTATCCATTAAAGTCCAATTTAAATAAACAAAATATAAGGAAGGTGGTAAATTCAAATGTCTTATTGCTAAAAGTGACTTAGAAAAAAATACATATACATGTATGTTATATATATGTATACCTATACACATCAGGTTAAAAACCTTGATAAAAGGATTGTATGTGTATGTAACAGAACCTACATCCACTTTCAGGAAGAAGGAAGGCCAATGGTGCGTGCTGGACGTGATTCCACTTAGTTCTCCGCTCCTCCCTTACCTTCCCTTGTGAAAGACACGTAACCATTTCAGGCTTTGTCCTGTCTCCGAAGAGTCAGACTGGGGATGACTGGGAAAGTGAGAGCTACTGCTGACCTGATGCGGCACCTCGGAGAGAAACTGGGAGGGATGTGCGGGGCAATGCCATCCTGAGCTGTCAGCTCAGGGTTTTGACAAGAGATCACTAAGAGGGAGGGGCCAAACCAGAATCCAACCCAACAAAGCCCAAGTTTTACATCAGAAACCTTCTGAGAATGTGGCTTGTGTTTTTTTCTCTACGTTTACAACCACGTCACAGAAGGTAGGGGTCCCCTACTTCATTAGCAACACAAGGATGATGAGCACTTACCCTAGTGTCTGATACATAAATGCTTAACCAATAGTGACTGTAATTGTTGCTCCCGTCATTAGGGGCAACTAAAGTACTGTGGGCTTGTATGAACGTCACAAACCTGTCAGGTAACAGATAATGGATCTTACGATATGTTCACAATATTAAAATCCTGAAGGACTAACACATTAAGAAAACTTCTACAACTTGCTGCCATGCATTTAGGAGAAGCTTTGGTTTTACCTTGTGGTCCATACTGGCTCATCTGTGGACCGTAAGTCCCACTTGAGTTACTCTGCTGAAAGCTACTGATTCCAGCATGCATCTGGCCCCCAGGAGAAGGATGAGGCGACATGGATGGTCCTGTCTGTTGAGGTCCATACTGAGCCATCTGAGGGTTTCTTTGTGTGCCTGCCATAAAACCTAAGTGGGAAATAAATGGAAACATATAAATGCAGGTGTTTCATAATCTCTGCATACATAAAAATGGACATGGACTTATGTGGCAGGTGGCAGGGGATAAGGCTGGTACCATGAGATTTTCCTTAAAAACAGCTAAAGACATCTCAATTCGGCGTGGACAGTCTGGAGGGTGCCCTGGTGAAACCCTGGTCCTAACCCTGAATTCCCAAGAGGACTCCCAGGAAGCCAATGGCTTGTGGACTTAAAGTAGGGAGGGGAGGAGGGGGAGCAAAGGCAGATGACCTCCCCCTCTTTTGCAGATAAAGTTCCTACAAAAAGTAACAGTGACCAACTGCTGTACTGCAAACTTCTGCCCCTGCCAGGCTGGCCACGCCGTGCGTGCCCCCTCCAAGCCTTTGCTCACTGCCCAATCCCTGGGACGCAGCTTTCTGGTTACTCAAAAATCCTACCCTTTAGACCCAAGGTACCAGCTCTTCCCTGCACAGAGCTGTTTTTCTCCCCTCTGGTGTCCTCAAGCAGTAACCGTTAAACTTGGTTCCTAAAGGGCCTGCAGACTTCTAATACCTGACTCGCACCACCCCCACAGGTCAACTGCAAACAGCTGCAGGCTTGCACTGTATTCTGCTGCGCCCCAGCAGAATCTTTGACTTTCTCCTTCAAATCTGTTGGGTCTTGGGACTTATCTACCTCTGTAACTGGTATGGCCACTCCTCCAAATGCTCCCTCAGACACATGGGACACCCACAAGGTCAGCCTTTCCTTCTTTCCTCTAAGTGTGATCCATCCATCAGCATGTCCTGGTGACTCCGCTCTGACACAGATGGTGCGAGGTACTTCTTCCTTATTTCTACTCCTACCAAAGCCAGCCCCAGTCGTGTCTTCTGCCCACACCACAGCTGTACGACCGACCACTCAGCCTTGCTAACCCCAGTCTTGCTCCTTTTGGTTTATTTTCCTCAAAGGTGGCAGAATAACTTTCAGGAATACAAAAGGAAATGAGAGCATATCTCTCCCCTGCACAAAACTCATCAAAACTGGCGGGCATGGTGGCTCATGGCTGTAATCCCAGCTCTTTGGGAGGCTGACGTGGGTGGATCATGAGGTGAGGAGTTCAAGACCAGCCTGACGAAGATGGTGAAACCCTGTCTCTACTAAAAATACAAAACTTAGCCGGGCATGGTGGCAGGTGCCTGTAATCCCAGCTACTCGGGAGGCTGAGGCAGGAGAATCCCTTGAACCCAGAAGGCGGAGGTTGTAGTGAGCCAAG